TAATTTGGAGAGTAGTAGTTGGAAGAAAAGAAAGTTATTGTTAAGAGTGTAAAGTGTAAGAAGGAGTATAGTAAGAAGAGTTTTCAGGAGAAGGATTGAATTGAGGATAGTTTCTAAGTAGATTAAGAATATTATCTATTAAATTAGAAAAAGAAGTAGTTTTAGAAATAAAGTTAGTAAATTGTTAAGCTTGCTGAACAATTTTTGTAGTAGCAAGATTAAAGATATGGTAATGAGAGATTTTTTGTACTATTTGTAAATGAAAGGTTTTAATAGGAAGTAGAAAGGTCCAGTAATTTTAGTATAGTAGTTAGATTGTCAGACTGCTATGCAAGAGGTCTAGAGTTCAAATACCACTGTCGATGAATTTGAATAATTACTCAGACTTTTGTATCTAACTTATGGTAAACCCTGTTCATTTCTGGAGTTGTAACCCTGTAAATTGTGTTGTACTAATATCAATTGGGTATTAGAAGTGTAACGGAAAAGTCTGGTCTGATGTAATATTACATGAATAAATTCTTGATAAGATCTACAGGCAGGGGACCTGCATGGTAAAAATTCTGAGTTAGATAATATAGTACAATTTCAACAGTCACGCTAGCTTGATGCTTGATCCAGAAAAAATCTAAGAACGAAGAATACAGATAAAGTAGATGTGAGTAAGTCTATAATGTAATAGAAAAGTTAAATATGATATAATATTATACGAATAGCAACACCAACCTGGTTTAGTAGCTAACTAGATTTGGGAGGATCTATCTCATGAAATATTCAGAAGAACTAGACTAATCTGGTGGAGAGCTACAGAAGAAACTGAGTTTGTACGAACACTAATAAAGGAATATGCTAGTTTAATTAGGATATAGCACAGCATAGTTGGAGTTATCCACAAGCCCTCACCAGAATAGGATGCAGGTAGGTACCTTGTGATTAGAGATTAAGTCCGGGTAAGGATTACCCGAGTAACCCATATAAGCACTTCTTAATCGGGTCATGGTTATGCTACCTGGGTAACTCAGATAAAAATCAGATTGTATTACATACGATAATAATAATGTGATCATACTAAATAATCAAGACAATTGTTGCTGAGTTTTATTTTGACAATAATTCACTGATTTACATTACTTCCACTTAACTATACATGTGTGCCTAAATTGCCCACCCTAATAAAAAGTAATTATGGCATTTAGGCAACCGAAATAAGTCTTATATAGTGCGAAATTAATTTTCATATTTGCCGAAATTATTGTTGAAATTTCTTGAACTCTTTTCATAAAATACATCATATAATGTAGTTATTTTGAGGGTTTCATAGCTGAAAATACTTTTTTTCAAAAATAATTTAGGCACACATGTATACGCTTAACACAATTGCACCATAATTGGATATTTAGTGTTTGCCAATTGCCGTAAGAAACTCTTGCTAGTTTTCTTTCCATGGTACGTACGTACATATTAGGGTGATAAATTGGCTAAGTAATCAAAACTATATTGCAGATTTTTCATGTTATCAATGGTATATTATGTACGTATTTAATTAATATACATTATTATTAAGTGATATATTCTAAATGATTCAGCTTATTACCAAGACATCAAATTACTATGAAACTTTCACAAGTTGTTAATAAAATGGCTAAGAATAAAGCTATGTTTCAAAAGTCTTTATTAATATGTAAATTTAGGGATTTGTCTTGTAGAATGTCTTAAATTTCGTTAATTGGCGTGAAAAAATTTATCTTAAATATCAAGTTCAAATTTTAATTAGAACTTTACGAAAAAAAATCAAAGTTATTTTGAAGTAGTTCTGACGCAATGTTTTCAATTGAAAGAAATTAGAAAAATAAGTACAATATTTGTGTGAATTATAGGTGCAGACTTATGACATCACCCAGTTACATCCTATATAAAAAATCAGTTTATAAAATAAGACACAATTAACCTGTAACTAATAATGTAATAAGTCTGCAACTATAGTGTGAATCATTTAAAATTTTGCAGTTTTCTTTATAATTAAAATTATAAAATCATTTGATCGATCATACTTTATTGATAAAAATCTGATCATAGTAAAATTACTAATATGCCTGACATAGTTTTAACCCTAGTACATATGTACTTGTAGAAGTAGGTTTGGTACTTACGTACGTATATTAATCATTATTTGAAGGCTAAATTTAGTAATATCAAATTTAAATATATAACCAATTTAGGATGGGCCTAGGTTCTTATTTGGTATATTGTATGATTAAAAATATATCAGGTATTAGAGAAGATGCTGTTAGAAAAATTGCATGATAATTGGTTTAAGAGAAAAGGAATTATATCATAGCAAAAATGTATATTTACCTTTATTGAAGACTGCATTTGGAAAGATGCAGAAAAGTTGCGTGCAAATTTTAAAGAAATCATGTCATAGCGAAAATATAGAGTTCCCCTATTGAAGATTGTATCGAAATGCAGTTAGAAAATTGCGTGATAGTAAAAATAAGCTTAAGAGAAATCATAAGATTACCTTTATTAAATTATGCTACAACTTTTACTTAGGTTTTCTCTAATACAATCGCATTCCTTCAGATTTGAATACAAAAGTGTAGTTCTCATTATTGGATTATATTGCAAATCAGAAAATTGGCGTAAAGAGCAAAAGTGTAAAATTAAAAATGTATTTAAACAATGCTTTTCAACTTTGAATAAATCTTCATAAAATTTGATTCTAATACTTGATATTTTATTTTATTTTTTTGATTATTGAAAATTGTCGCGTATACTTATTTAATATAAAGTATCGCTTACATCATATTTATTATATTTAATATAAAGTATCGCTTACATCATAATTACTACATTCATTTTTCTTCTATATTATATAAATTGAAATCACTTGATATTATATTGCACATTAAAGTTACAATAAATAAAAAAAAATAGAATCTCAAGAAGAATCTAGTTCGAGCCTTCAAAAAAGTATATACACTAACGAAACTGATAGCAAAAATGATAGTAATAGTACGTCTTCCATTACAAATATATTAATTAGTACTAAAAAAAAGAGAAATAGAAGTAAGAAAAGTTTTGTATGGAAATACTTTGAAGTAGTTGAGAAAAAAGATAGAAAAAAAGACATATGTCAAGTTATGGTTAAAAAAAATGGAGAAGACAAAAAATGTGAAACGGAATACTTCCATGACAATTCAATATCAAATATGATTGCTCATCTAAGATCGCATAATATCGTAGATAATAAAAAACTAAAATCTGAAACGCAACAGAATAGGCAAGCTACATTAACTGAAATGATCCGATCTGATATTCCACATAAGAGCGATAAGCAAAGAGAATTAAATAAAGCAGTTGTTGAATGAATACTTCTTGATAATCAACCACTATCAGCACCAAGAAAAAAAGGATTCCGTCGCATGATGGCAAAAGTTGATCTGAAATTTCGCCTACCTTCTGATAGAGTAATAAGAAATGAAATAATATTTAGTTACTTAAAAAATATTGATACTCTTCGGCATGAGATCGAATTATCTTGTAAAACTACTACAATAACATCTGATTTGTGAACTTCACGTAATAACCAAGGCTATATTGGAGTTACTTGTTACTGGATAACTCCTAACTGGTCATTACGTAGTGTATTATTATGTTGTGAAAAAATATCTTACCCACATACCGCAGAATCTATTTATCAATTTATTCAAACAAAGTGTTTTGAATATAATTTAAAAAATAAAATTGTATGCGCAATTACTGATAATGGCCCAAATATGGTAAAAGCTATTCGATTATGGAATACTGTTACCTGGCTTCCATGTGCTGCGCATACTCTACAGTTAACAGTTAGTTCTTCTTTAAAAAAAATCAACTCTAAAACTAAAAAAATAAGAAAGTTGGTTAATTTTTTTGATTCACCTAAACAACAAGAAAGATTAGAAAAGGCTCAAATAAAAGTAATGGAGAGAGATAGAATATCTTCGTCTAATTTAATTAGTACTGAATCTTATTTTGAGGAAGAAGATGCTGGCGAAGTTAATGATAGTGTTAGTACAGATACGGATCGACTAAATATAAAAGTTACTTCAAAACCTATTCATCTACTTAAAGATTGCCCAACTAGGTGGAACTCCACTTATAAGTCTTGGGAAAGGTTTTTAAAACTAAAGGATGCAATCATATGGTTAGAGGCTAATTTAAAAATTTCATGAAATTCAGATAATAAAAAAGATGGACAAAATCTTGCTCACTGTTTACCTGATGAAGACAAATGGAGGTTAATTGAAGAATTAGTTAAGGTCTTCGAACCATTCGACCAAGCTACTGAAGCATTTAGTGCTGAAAAGTACCCTACATTGTCAGTTGTGTATCCTATCATTGAATTCTTAAAATTTGAATTTGCAACAAATTCAAATTTAACTTCAACTTCGATTGAAGATGATTTTAATGAAGAATATGGTAATTTTTGTCATGGATGATCGTGAAATCGGATGATGCTGAAATTTTAGAGTCTCTATTTAAATCTATAATGCCTACTAAAACCTACATATACTCTTTTATTAACAACTCTATCCCTAAACCCTAACCCTAACCTTACAAAAAGGCTATAAAAAAAGCCCTAAAATTTTTTAAAATTTCATAAAATAAATAAAAATTTCAGCATTATCCGATTTCATGATCATCTGTGATAATTTTTAATAAATTTTCTATCATAAGTTACCATCAAAATATCATAATATTTACCTTTTTTTTTTTAATTAGATAGCAATAGTGATAATGAAGAAGCTCAAACACTAGAAACTTATGATATCCAATCAATAATTGCTTGCGTTAAGCAAGCAATTTATAATTCTCTTTGGAGATATTGGGGTGAACCAAAATATACTGATCTTTTAGCTATTTTACTAGACCCTTGGCTTAAAAAAATGCATCCTTGGTCTAGTCATCTACGAGAAGAAATAATAAAAATATGCCGTGAAGAACTCGATAGCATTACTAATGCAATATCTATACGATCCATTTCTTCCACCAGTTTTATTTCAACTAATCGTTATTTTGCATCAATATTTGATGATAACGATGATGATAATCTATTAAATAATAAGAATGAACTGGATAAATATTTAGAAGCGTCAATTGCATCATCATTAACTCAACCTTTAGAATGGTGGAAAGAACGAGAAAAAGACTTTCCAAATTTAAGTAAATTAGCAAAGAAATACTTATCTATCCTAGCAACTTCGGTGCCAAGTGAACGCTTATTCTCAGATGCGAGAAATCAAGTAACACCAAAACGAACACATCTCAGTCCAGAAACTGTTTCTCAAATATTGTTTCTAAAAAGAAATAGCGAATTGATTAGTATTATATAAAAAATAATGTAAATTCTTTTCAGATTCTCACGCTATTCATTAGTTAATATATAAACCAATTGATTCTAAAGTAGGATTATCTTTTATTAGAATTTTTTTATTTTAAATAAAGGTTTTAGTTATAAAATACCATATAATAGTAGGATGCACTATATCATAATTGATCAAAACTAAGGTCAATCGATAAATTGATAATAATAAATTTTCTGGAACTTGTAGATCAGTTGGAGTGTCAATTCATAGCAAAGATATATAAATTTCACATAAAATAATATATTTAGTTTTTTTTTGCTCAAATTTTTTAATAATATAAAAAGTTTCTTCTGTAATTTTCTTCTTACCTCTACAATTATGATATATAAAAAATTTGAGTGAAAAATAATGGGTTAGTGAACCTAAACATCTAATTTTATTAGTATAACATTAAAAAATCTGCACTTAGCGAATTTACAATTTTGTTATTGCTATTATCATAATTTCTGGAACACCTGCTCCTTACCCAAAATCCTTTTGGTCGTTCAGTAAATTATCTAACTCTTCAGGAACTACATCGCTGTCTTCGGACCTTTAGTCTGGAGGTAGTGATATAATTTCCGGAGAGTTAGGTAATTTACTGAACGACTAAAAAGATTTCGGGTAAGGAGCAGATGTTCCAGAAATTATGAAAATAGCAGCAACATAGTTTTGATATAGTATACTCTAATATAAGGCAATATAAAATTTATGAATTGGTTTTCATAAAAAAATTTCTATATGTTTAAATAGCCGGGTGAAGTTTTGAAAAAAAAATTTTATAATATTTTATAAAATTTATATATAAAATTAAAAAAAAAAGCCGGCCGGCTGGGTTTGATTTAAAATTTCATGTTATGAAAACCAAGTAATAAAGTTTGTATGGCCTAATAGGTTTCAGAATTAATGATCAATCTTGTGCATGAGACATATTATATTTGAAGTTAGCATCTACTTAAGGTTGAAGCTTTAATCGTTTAAGGTTTACTATCTTAAATTTAATTTAGCACAAATGCTACGTATTAAGAACAGATCTTGAAATTTTATTGGATGCAATTACCTGAAGATTAGTTGGGTTAACCGAGGTACCTGGGTTA